CATATGCAGCAGTTGCCCAGTACATGCTGGTCCGTATGCAGTGGGTGCCCAGTACATGCTGGTCTGTATGCAGCAGGCGCCCAGTACATGCTGATCGGTATGCAGCAGGCGCCCAGTAAATGCTGGCCACTCTAGTCATCGCTCTGCCCCATGGATGGATGTGTGGGCCCAGTGGCTCTGTGGGGCTCCAGTGGTAAAGCCCCATGACAGAGGGGGACACCAAGGCCCAGGGCGAGAGGGCAGAAGCCTGGGGCCTCTCCCAGCTGGGATTTAATCCTCGCCCACCAGACTACAAGCTCCTTTTCTTCCCATCCGTTGGGCCCTTCCGCTGTGCTGGAGCTTCGCGGGCAGTGAGACGGCCCTGTCAGGTGCTGAGGGTGGGCCAGACGCAGCGTCGCGCTCATGAACATCCTCCCGTTATAGGACCGTCACCACGTTAGCCGGCGAGGCCTCATGAGAACTTTCGCAAGACCTTCCTTATTAACTTTCCCCAGGAGAGTCCCCGTGGGGGGCGACCCCATGTGAGTAAGTGAGGTGTCACCAGTGGCTGCGGAACAAATCACCCCCAAACCCAGCGGCCTGAGACGGCAACGGCGTTTATCACGTCACGCGCTTTCTGTGTCGGGGACTTGGGGGTGCTTGGCTGGGGTCCCAGCTCGGGGTCCTGTGAGGCTGCAGTGAGGCTGCGGCGCGGCCCGGTCCTCCAGAGGCTCAGCCGCGGAGGGCTCACCCTCACCCGGCACGCGGGTGCCGCTCGGGCTGGAGCCGCAGGGTCCCCTCTCCACGGGGGTTTTAGAGCCATTGCACCCCTCTCCGTGGTCCACGCCCTGCTGCCCCAGCGGTGTGACCCCTGCGACCCTGCGGTGAGGGCAGGTGAACCTCAGCTGTGTCAAGGCTGTGGAGGTTCCGGGGTCATCTGTTCCCGCGTGTGACGCAGCCCGTCCTGTCCGGGTGCCCCGTCCGTCAGCTCCACCCCGACGCCTTTTCCAGGGACCAGCCGACCCCCCCAGATCTCGAGCTCACTCATGCCCCTGGAGGCGGCAGCTGGGGCGATGTCTGGGGGCCACCCGGTCCCCGGTGCTCACTGGGCACCTCTGTGTCTGGCTGCTCCGGCCTGGCCTCACCGCCGCCCGCTCTCCTCGCCCAGAGGAGGGTCCTCCTCCTGTCCCTCACTCCCATGAGAACACAGGGCAGATCTTGTGCCCAGTGCCCGGCCTGCAACTCCACGTGCGCCGTCGTCAGCTGTGACAGGGCCGAACGCAGCCGGGCGTCCAGACTTTGCTTCTCTCGGGCTCCCGGCCTCGCGGGCAGGAGGACACGAAAGGGGTCGTTGTTACCCAGTGGGGTTGGGGCTGTGACAGAGCATCCTCGAGAACCCAGCGGGGGTGACACCCAACCTCACCGAGACCCTCCCAGGGGCTCCCCCGCGGTTCTGCGCCACGAGGGGCACCCACGCCACCTGCTGAACCACCAGGGGAGCCCACGGCGGCCGCTCTGCAGGGGGGCGGCCTGCTTCGAGTCTCGGCCCTGCGGGGGAGCCTGGGCTCCGGGCCTCCGCTTCCCCGTCTGTGAAGTGGGGTCGGGCATTCACAGGGGCTCCATCCGTGCAGCGCCTACAGAGCTCAATCCGTAAACCGCGTGAGCGTTTGTTAAAATAAGGATACGTGCATGGAATGTCTCCAGAAGAGACACGGACTCATGGCAGACCTGGGCTCACCCAGGGTGACTCTGCCCCGAGGGACACTGGGTGACATCCAGGGACGTCTGTGGTCAGCACGCTGGATGGCGTGGGGCAGGATGTGGCTCAACCCCCTGCAGGGCCCAGGACGGCCCCCAGAGGGGGATCTGAGCTGAGGACTCCGGCCAGACCGGCCGGTGCCTTCTGCAGGCCCTGGGTCACAGGGACCCCGGGGACGGCTCTCCTGCTGCTACCATAGCAACGAGGCGGCTGAGAAGGATGCCTGGCAGCCGCACAGCCCCCAGCAAGTCCCAGAACGACTGTGCTCCTGGGGCCTCGAGGCCAGTGGGGGCGGCCGCCGGGACGTCCTGGAGGCCAGCTCTTCCGATGCCCCGAGACGCCGCAGACGGCAGTTTGGTTGCCTTCTCCCCAAATCCTTTGTGATGACACTCTCAGAACAGCCCAGCACGTCCAGGCAACCCCTCGGCGTCGGGGCGAGGCTGCCCGGCCTCAGAGGGAGCCCCCCTCTCTGCACCCGAGACCCGCCCAACGCGCTTCTGCTTCTGGTCCGTCTGTGAGGTTAAGGGGCTCTGACTGAGAGCTCATTTTATTTTATTTTTTGCTGAGGAAGATTGTCCCTGAGCTAACGTCTGTGCCAATCTTTCTCTACTTTTTATGTGGGTCACCGCCACAGCAGGGCCGCCAACGAGTGGTGTAAGTCCATGCCAGGGATCCAAACCCACAAACAGACGCTTCTCAGCCCTCATCCATTGGGCTGTCAGATACAGGGCTGCTGCCAGCCCACAAGGCACCTTTGTGTGAATTAGGAAAAAGCTCTGCAAAAAGCCTTCATATAAACATCCTTGTCTGTGCTGTCTATGGGCGAGTGGCTTGTGCAGTGCTCGACCTGAACAACTGTACACGGTCCCGCCACTGACTACTTGTTCTCCTTGGAAGATGTCCTGGATGCCGTTCTCTTCTGGTGCCCTCCTTCATGTCTGCTCTGCCTTCTCATGAGTTTTTGTGGGTTCTTCTTTTTTTTTTTTTTTAAAAGATTTTATTTATTCATTTTTTTACCCCCAAAGCCCCAGTAGATAGTTGTATGTCATAGGTTCACATCCTTCTAGTTGCTGTACGTGGGACTCGGCCTCGCGTTGGACGGAGAAGTGGTGCCTTGGGGCGTGCCCGGGATCCGAACCCGGGCCGCCAGCATCAGAGCGCACGCACTTAACCGCTAAGCCACGGAGCCGGCCCCTTTTGTGGGTTCTTCTTAGCGTTGGGTCCGGGGCTCTTCTCAGCTCTCCCCAGGCCTTCACGACCCCTCCCAGTTGACAACCTCCCATCCCAGATGCAGGTCTCAGCATCCACCTTCCTGCTGCAAGGTCCTCCCAGCCCCTCCCTTAACAGTCCTCAGTGACTCTAGAAACTTCCTCCAAACCAGCGGCCTCCCATCTCAGCAGATAGCTCCAAGGACCACCCTGGACTCTCCCTGCACACGCCCCTCCCACCCTGACCCCAGCACCACCATCAGCTCGCCCTTCAGAGCACGTCCCACCAACCTGCTCCTCTTCCCAGGTCCCCATGGAAGGGGTGGCCCCTGGCCTCCAGATGCCCCGCGGCTCCTTGTCTGGCTGTCATGTGGACACCCCACACTCCCTGTCCCCCTGTGGGTGGGGGCGTGGGTGCTGCGCTGAGACGCCCGCCCTCCGCACCGCTTCCCACACCCGGGCTCCCGCCCCAGCCTCTCTGTGCTCCGTGTGACCCTCCGGGAGGGGCGCCCACAGGTGGTGGGTGCTGGAAGCACCTGGGGATTAGGCCGAAACGCTCCCTTGCTTGGCCTCCTCCCCCCTCCTGGGTTCTCCCGGGAGCGCCCCCTTATAAAATCACCCCCACACGAACGCTTGCCTCAGGCTCCGCTTTGCGGCCTTCCCTTCCCCCTGTGGTTCCCACCCTGCAGCTCTGCAGCCACTTGCGCATCACGCAGGCCGCCTCCTGGACGCCCCTCCTGCCGCTGGGAGCCTGGCCCCGGGGTAGCTTTCTGTCTTCAGGCCCAACCCTGTAAGCACTCATTTTCTGCCTGAATGGACGGGGATGCTGCGATGCTGGTAACGAGGCAGCTGGGGAGGGGGACCTGGCTCGGACGCCTTGCCCTGCGACCTTGGGCACCACAATTTGCAAAGTGGTGTTGGCTGCAAGGGGAACTCAGCACCTGCAAAGGGGCGTCACAAGGGACGCAGCCGGCCAGAGCAAGCCCATCGCGGCCCGGGCCACCCCGCACCCGGGGGGCGCTGCGGACTACGGTCCCCAGCACGCCCCGCGCGCCGCCGCCAGCGCCGGGGACGGGGAGCCGCGCGGAGCACGCTGGGAGTTGGAGTCCGGCGGACCCCCGCCCGCCCCGGCCCCGCCCCGCACCTCTGGGAGTGGTGAGCCAGGCGCAGGTGCCAGAGCGCGCGGCCGAGGCGCTGCTGCTGCAGCAGGAGCTGGCCCGGGGGCTCCCCGGCGCCGCCGCTGGCCGGCGAGCGCAGGCCCATGTTCTCGAAGTAGTGCGCCAGGAAAGCGATCGGCTCCTCGGGCCGCGCCTCCAGCACCTTCAGCAGGGCCGCGCGCAGCATCTCCGTCACGCCGACCTGCCGCAGGAAGTCCTCGTCGCTCTCGGGAGTTGCCGCCGCCTGGGACACCGCCGGCCGGCCGCTGTCCGGGAAACTGGCCGCCGGGGCCACGGCCGGCCGCCGCTTGTCCACTGCCGCCATCTTCGCTGAGGGCAGCGGGACCGGAAGCGCCGCCATATTCCACTGCGCTGGCGCCGCGTGGCGGCCATCTTGGTTGAGGGCAGAGGGCTCCGGGATCCCGCGGGGAGACTCTGGGAAGTGATTAGCGCAGGACGCCCTTTCTTGGGTTCTAATTGGCACTCTCTCTCGGGTTTCCTCTTTGAGCGTATCGGTTGGCTTTTCTGGCTCAGGCCCGGAACCTGAATTTTGCCAGACTCCAAAATGGCTCCTCAGGAAGGGCTTGGTTCCTGGCATGAAGCCGCATTGTCTGCCATCTTGGTAGTGGGCGAGTCCTTCATTAGCATGGTCCCCTAGCAACCAGTCTCCTTGGTTACCAGAGAAGCCGGTCCAGCGCGGGCGGGGAGGGATGCGCCCAGACTCCATGACGGAGCGCCGCCCCCGCCCTCTTTTCTTTTTCATCTTTGAGCCTTTGTGCTCAGCCTGGCCGTAAACCTAACCCAATCTCCGTCGGAGTTTATGGCTCAACTCGTGGGGAAAGGCCCCCTCTCCCCCCAGCCACCCACCAGGGTGGGCTTGGGGTCTGCTCTGGGCTCCCGCGGCGCCCAGTCCCCAGCACGTGTTCGCGGAATGAGTGGCCCTCCCACGGTCCCCACTGTCCCAGGCTGTTACGTTTCCTCACCATTAGAGGGATCTTTCTCACACTGCATCCTCTGTAGTTCAAGAGTCTCCCGTGGCTCCCCAGTGCCCGGCACCTACAGCCCTTCATCTGCTGATCTCATCTCCAGCCTCTCTCGCCTCTCCCCCATCCTCAGCCCCCAGCCACCCCAAAAGAGATGCTGTTTCCCTTAATAAGCCACCTCTCTTCTGCGGCTTTGGCCACGCCGTTCCTCCGCCAAATACTTTCCCCTACTTCTTTTGAGGAGTCCTAGTTATTCTTTAGGCTCCAGTGTCCCGAAATCCAGGGAAGGGATCTCCCACCCCCAGCTGTCCTCTCTCCCCAGCCCTGGCCAAGTGTGGCTGGGGAGTCGCCCAGCTCAGAGGGGCCGTGCAGAGGATTCCAGCATCCTCGTACCATGACAGGGACTACTGAAGTCACACCAGATCTTTATTCTCTAGCTGTGGACGTGGCGGGTGGCTCCCCAGGGGCCCCACCCAGGGGAAACCCAGCCAGCTGGGCAGCCTGGTTGCTGGCCATCAGGGTGAGGGGCCTGCGGTCAGTCCTCATGCTGTCCAGACCCTGCAGACGTCCTCCAGTCGCAGCTGAGTGAAGGAGTGGCAGGTCACTTCAGAAGTGATCTCCTGAATCCCGCCCCCCCAGTCCGGTGCAAGCGGGGCAGGGGGCCCAGAGGAGCTGGTGGGCGTGGTGGTCAGTGGCCGGCCGGCAGCATTTCCACAGGCGATAGGCGAGGAACACCAGGAGGAGCAGCCCCAGGGCCACACTGCCCGTCCACAGGGCTGCGGACGACGCCGGGGAGCCTGGAGAGAGAAGCACCAGGAGCCCTGAGCCCGCCTCTGCAGGTTTTGGGGAGAAGCCTGCTGAGTCTGCTCAGGGCTTCCAAATTTCCTGCGTTCCCTGAAATTTCACAAAGGACTTGACCGTTTGGAACGTCTTTTGAAATGTACAAATCCCCCAGAACATCCAGAGGACTTTAGAGTGAATCTCTCAAAAGGTCCATGGGACAAAACAGTGGGAAGTGGGCGGTCCACTGAGGCGGCCACGCACCACGTCTGCGTCGAAACGTGGCCCGTCAGAGCAGAAAAGTGCCCTCGGTGTAAACACACATCGCGTTTTGAAGACGTGTATTTCTTCAAATAAAAAAAATGTCAAATATGTCATTCGTACGTTTTTACAGGTTGCATGTTGAACTGATAATATTTGAGATATATTGGGTTTGGTAAAATATATTATCAAACTTATTTTCCTTTTTTTTTCTGAATGTGGCTACTAGAGAATGTGAAATTCCCTAAGTGGCTGTAATCCTAGTTTCATTTCTCTCCCACAGGCTGTTGGGGTCTGTATTATAAAGTTTAGTTTACAAAGTGGTGTGACATCTACACGGTCCCTGAAATTTACGGCCATCGGTCATGCCAGGCCACTGTCATCTCACGATGTCGGGGAAGCCCGCTATCTGCTGAGGCCAGGCAGGGCGCCTCCTGGTCTGGGATCTGATGCAAAGCATCCCTCCCCCCAGGGACTCCCAGGGCTCCCCCGCCAGAACTCACAGATTTCTGGGACCAGGTACAGGCTGGCCACCTGGCCCCCTGGGTCCAGGCAACACTGGAACCAGCCCTCGGGGTTGCACTCGGCCCACGGCACGCTCAGCCACGCCCGGGCTCCGGCCTCCCGCCTGTTGTAGGCCTCCAGACCGCCGGGAGCCTGGGTCCAGTGCACGGCCACGCCAGGGCTGCAGACCACCTCACACAGCAGCTCCAGACCCCGTGGCGTTGTCAACCGGCGGATCACAGGGCGACAGGGCCTGGTGGAGCTGTTCCCAGGTGTGGGGCCACGACTCCTGGGGCCAGGACCGGTGGGGCGAGGACTCGTGGGGCCATGACTCGTGGGGCGAGGGCTCTCAGATCCAGGACTCTCAGGACCAGGACTCGAGGGGCTGTGGGTGGAGCCCTGCTCGGGGGTCGCCTCCGGGGAGGTCACGATGGGGGGCTCCCGGGAGGTCAGGCTGTGCAGGACTGGAAAACAAGATGGCCATTTGTTCTCCCTGCTGCCCCAGCCTCCCTCCTGCCTCAGTCTTTCCATCTGGACCATGGAGTTGGACCAGAACCGCTCCCAGCCCATCCCTGGCCACTTGGGTGAGTCGCAGGGTGTCTCAGTGGGTGGGAGCGGGGTCGGAGTCCGTCACAGCCCTCCATGCCCTGAGCGAGCTGCTGAATCTCCAGGTCTCACTTTCCCCCACTGTAGAGGGGGCGATGGCCACTGCCCCTGGGGGGCTGCCATGGAGAGTGCCCTGGTTCACGGGTGCCTGGGTTGCAGGGTCCGTGAATACCGGGTTTATTGTTACAGAACTCGGAGATGGAGAGAGGGGAGAATGGTCCCCCTGGAGTCAGGGGGTCCTTGAGCTTTCCGATCATCACCCTGGGGTGCAGGCGGGGAGACTGAGGCCCCAGGAGAGGCTCTGCACATCCTCCTACAAAATCTCTCCAATCCAGTGGCCTCCCTGCGTGCCACACCCCACCCCAGCTCCTGTTTCCACTTGATCAAACTCTTCCTGACGCTCATGACCCCAAGCACGTTAATGTGAGTTTCCAGGCGCCCCGTCAGAGAGTGAGTCAGTGCTTCTTTAGCGAGAGGCTGCCGGGGGGCTTCATGACGTGAGCAGGGCGTGTCCCGGATCAGACACACGTCAGTTAAATTAATAACAACATCTGGCACAAATTGAGCACCTACTGTGTGCTGGCCTCCAGGTGAAATGCTTTCATCTGATTGTTCACCCCTCAAGTATTTATTGCGCACCTACTCCGTGCTGTGCACAGTGAGAACATTCATTCATCCATTCACTCATTCGTTCAGAACGTATGTGTCGCACACCTACTGTGCGCCGGGCACCATTCAGCCCCTGGAGACACAGCCGTGAACAAGACAGACACATTCCTACCCTGGTGAAGCCGGCAGCAGGGGAGACAGGTAACGGAAAGAGAACTTACAGGACGTCGGGTGTTGATAAAAAGGCGTCATAAACAATCAACAGGGAAGAGAAAGGGCTCTCCCGTGTGTGTGTGGGGGGTTGGGTCAGGGGAAGCCTCACTCGGAAGGTGACCTGAGGGAGTGAGTGAGCGAGCCGGGGAGAGATGCCGGGGAAGTACATTCTGGGTGGAGAGCACAGCAGTGCAAAGGCCCTGGGGTAGGATGTGGCAATTTTCCCACCAGCTGTGGGTACTGTGACCACCCAGATGGGGACACAGCGGGCGAGGTGTGGAACCAGGGTTCCAGAGCTGGGCACCCAGTGTCGAGACTTTGTCTAATCCCCGGGGCACTGATTCGCAGGCCGGCCGGCCCTGCACTCACCTGGAATGGGCCGGCTGTGGTTCAGCTCCAAGCCGGGCAGCGTCATGGTCGCCTGGCAGTGGAGGGTGAGTGGGGCGAGGGTCCCCAGGGGGGGCAGCAGCCAGCGCTCTGTCACTCGGAACAGCGAGTCCTCGCCATCCTGGGCCTCCTCCTCCACATCCTGGCCCAAAGCCTGCACCCCCTCCAGCTCCTGGCCCCCCAGGAGCAGGGACAAGGAGAGGGTGTCCGAGCTGGCAGGCGAGACGTTGTGGGCGGTGCAGGCCACCTCCTGGGCAGACCCGGCCACCAGGGCCCCTGGGGAGACGGTCAGCTGGTCCGGGAAGGCTGCGGACGGAGGGTCGGAGGGGGTGGGTTGAGTCCAGAGGGTCCGGACTGGGCCCTGAGGGGGTGGACGGGGTCAAGGGGTGCACAGGGACAGGCAAAACCCAGCGGCCGCGCCCTGTGTGGCTACAATATAAGGTGCTGGAGAAGGATCCAGAGCAGAAAGGGCAGGCGGAGTGAAGGCCGGGAGGCCGCCGAGAGGAGGCGGTGCGGAGAGGAGGGAACGGATTGCAGAGAGACTCGGAGGAGCGGCGAGCAGGCTTCGAGCTGGGGCGGGGCGGGCAGTCCGGGAAGCCTCCCGGGAGGCGGCGGCAAAGAGACGGAGGTGAAGCAGCGCTGCTGATGTGGGGGGCGGGAGGAGCGGCGGCGCTCACCGAACACCAGGAGCCGCACGGTCCGCTGGAAGGTGAGGTTCCCGCAGGAGCCCACGCACACGCGGGTCCCCGCCGCCGCCAGGGACGCGTTGCGCACGGAGAGGACGCTGATGCCCGCGCCCGTCTGCACGGCGCCCAGGGTGGTGTCCAGGCCGCGCCACTGCACCGGGGCGGCCCCGGGGCCCGCGCAGGCCAGGCGGCAGGTCAGCTCCCGCGACCCGCCCACGGGCACCGCCACCACGCTCTCGGGGGGCTCCACCTCCAGGGCACCTGCGGGCAGAGGGCGCGCTCAGCCCGGCCGCGCGCCCCCGACACCGGGACCCCAGCCCCAGAACCGGTCCTGGGCTCCGCCTCCGCCCGGACCCCAGCCCCTGCCAGCCCCGCCCCCGCGAAGGCCCTCCTCCTAGGACCCTGTCACCTCCCGGAACCAGCCCACTGGCCTACTCTTCCAGCCCCCTCCCCTCCCGGAGCCCCCTCCCCTCCAGGAGACTCCTCCCCTCTTGGAGACCCCTCCTCTCCCGGAGACCCCTCCCCTCCCTGAGCCCCC